TATCTATCTATCTATCTATCTATCTATCTATCTATCTATCTATCTATCTATCTATCTATCTATCTCTATCTCTCTATCTCTCTCTCTATCTATCTATCTTTATATATAAAAACAGAATCTATTTCAAAGTGTTGAACAATGCAGGATGATCTACATAATATTATTTGCTTCCGGTCCTGGAACCAGATCAACAGTTCTTCTGGTTCAAAAACAAAGGTTTATAGAAAAGAGGTGTATATAGATGAAAGGAGAAATTGTAAGGTGGTCAAGATAATATTGCTCACACCGCCTGCTATTTGATTCTTCAAGATGGCTTCAAGGTATTTTTTTTTTGTTATTACAAAGAAAATCCTTTGCTTGCCAAAATATACAGCTGTTGTATATTAAACAATTAGATTTATAGGGATATCTAGCCATGTCATGTAAATTTAACATCACAATTGTTAAATTTAACGGGTAAATTAAGGAAACGTGTTAGAATTTTACCACCCAAATATCCAAGCTGCTCTTTGAAAACTGGGCTGTGAAGAGCAGTGAAACACTCCCCGATAAATATGAACGTCTAACGATGTACTTGCCTCAAACCTTCGCTCGAAATTCTGGAATTCAAACATCCTCACTTGGAAACCCTCGGCCAGTGCCCCGCCTACAGAGGGGGAAAATAAAATAAAAATAACCAAGCACCATCAGATTTGAACAGCAAAATAGGCCCATGCTTCCTTCCCCCCACCTCAAGTTTCTAATCCTCATCAGCCCCCAGGCAGGAGCGACGCCGAGCATAATTTTTTTAAGGAGATTTAGAAACCGGGAGAGCTTAAGAGCAGTGTTTCTCAACCGTGGCAACTTTTAAGACTGGTGGACTTCAACTCCCAGCATTCATGCTGGCTGGGGAATGCTGGGAGTTGAAGTCCACCAGTCTTAAAAGCTGCCACGGTTGAGAAACACTGGTTTAAGAGGGTCTCTCACCTCCTTCGGGCATACCCTGAGCCTTCTGGATGCGGGCGTTCAGAACCTCTTTCGCAGAGACAAAAAAGATGCGATCGCCCGCCTGGCCACGATCCACCACCGCCAGCTCGTCCACCAGGAAGCTGGTGCAACGCTCCATGTGCTGCCGGCGAACCTGGGAGAGGAAGAGGAGAGCAAAAAAAAAAAAGAGAGGATAAGTTAGATAAGGAAGACCGACCTCCCTTCCGGGCTTGCTCTCCCCGCTTCCCAGCCACACCCCAGGAAGCCTCACCTCCTCCATGTATTCGGGTTCGGAGGCCGAAGCGTCCCAGCGGTTGTTTAAAATGAAAATGTTCGGCCGGGAGAGGCGAGCGTTGACTTTGTGGAAGAACTGTTTCTCCTGGATTGGCAGAAAAGAAACAACAACAAAGCGTTCTATGAACAGGAGGATCATAAAATTAGCCTTTAAAAAAATCAGAATGGGGATAGAGATGGAAGGGACCTTGGAGGTCTTCTAGTCCAACCCCTTGCTCGGTCAGGAGACCCTATACCATTTCAGACCAGTCTCTTCTTAAAAAAACCTCGAGTAATGGAGCACCCATAATTTTTGGTGGCAAGCTGTTCCACTGGTTAATTGTTGGAAGTTTCTCCTTAATTCCAGGTCGCTTCTCTCCTTAGTTCAATTCCATTGCTTTTTTTTTTGTCTTGCCTGCTTTGGAGAATAAGTTGACCCCCCCTCTTCTTTGTGGCAGGAGTACAGGAATCAAATGTAGGAATCCTGCTATCATCTTTCCCCTACTCCTTCTTTTCTCTAGACTGGCCATACACAAATCCTGCAATTTGTTCTTCCTATATTTTAGTCCCCAGCAGGGGTGGGATTCAAAAGTTTTAACAACCGGTTCTGTGGGCGTGGCTTAGGTGGTGGGCGAGGCTTAGGTGGTCATGTGACAGCTGGGCGTGGCCAACTCAACATCGTATCGAGGCATGCATCTCCTCGCCTGGCCTCTCATGACTGTGGGGATGTTGCAACAGTCATAAGTGTGGAAAAATGGTCATAAGTCACTTTTTTCAGCGCCATTGTAACTTTGAATGGTCACTCCACACAAGTACCAGCAAAGGAGGGGGAAAAAACTCCAGAGAAGGTCCGGAGACAGGAAGTCTAGTCCTGACCAAGAATGTAATAAGGGTTAACAGAGAGAGCAACACCAGAATGTTTCCTTCCTGCCTTCCTTACAGGATTAGCCCTGTAATTTCTTCTAACAACCAATTCTCCGAACTGCTGAGAATGTTAACAACCGGTTTTAGCGAATAGGTGCGAACTGGTAGAATCCCACCCCTGGTCTCCAGCCTTTAATCACCTTAGTTGCTCTTATTTGCGCTTTTTCCAAAGCCTCAACGTCTTTTTTGTAATGGGGTGACCAAAAATGGATGCAGCACTCCAGGCACGGCCTTACTTAGGATGTATAAAGCAGTACTAACACTTCACGTGATTTTGATTCTATGCCTCTGTTTATACACCCAAGGATTGTATTAGCTTTATTGGCTGCCGCTGCACACAACTGGCTAAAAACAGGAATCACCTATTCAAAGGGGTCACTTTTTCAAAAACTCAAAATTTCTGCCCCTTTTGAGCCACCCCTCACCCCCCCCCATCCAGGTTTCTCGAGCAGAAGGAGTGTGGGGTCAATGGAGAGCTATGAATTTTTAAAAACAGGAGTTGCAAAGTAAGCTTTTGAGGAAGGAGTGATGAGAAAAAGACAGAAAAACAAGCAAACTCACTCCGCTTCTTTCATTCACCAGCATGCAAAATCCAACATTTTTTGTGCCTTTCAGGAGCCTCGATGCCAACCCCCAGAGCCTCCTGAAACGTGCGTGATTCTTGCAAATGTTTTAACTAAAAGCGAAGCCAGAGAAGCAGGGAACGAAAGGTTTTTACCGTCTGCATCAGCGTCGACTCCGAGTTGGCCACCAACACAAAGACATCTGCATCCAAGCAGAACTTATCAATCCAGCTATCCAGCTCGGTGGTGACATCAATCCCGGGGCTGAACGTATAACAAGAAACAAGAGAAACGATGTCGTAACCGACACGCTGAAATGGAGTTCTCTCGTCCAACACCTCCCCCGTCCTGTGGGAGCTTTAAATTTTGATTTTGGTTGGAAGGACATTTTGGACACGAATCAATCTAACCTTTGCTCTTTGTTAAAGAAGTTGCTTGTGCCATTTTACAAAGGATGGAAATCATTTTGTTAGGGATTCATTCTGTAAGAGAATTGCATCCTTTTCTATCTGGTTTCTCGCCTCTGCAATTTGCTTCGGTGCTAGACACATCCTTAGAGACAATTCCCAGAAACATCCTGCTCCATACATTAAGCGGGGTGGGGGCTGCCCAGGAGCATGAACACACAAGGACAAGGGATATTGTGTAAAATAACAAAGTATGGACAGAGCAGGGACAAAGAACACTCCATGGATAAGGAAGGGGAGCGCATGGGCAAGACATTGGCCACATTAAGAACAAACATTTGTCTCTGATTGGATAAACTTAGTTTCTATCCACATGTAATACTCTTGAGCCACTCTCGCAGGGTGTGGCTATTCCTTACATGCATTTTTGGACACAGTACTTTTTGCTTTGGCCAAAGAATAAAAAAAGGCTGTTGTTTTTGCAAGCCTCGAGCCTCACTCTTTGGCATCTCCGTGGCTTAGGGAAACTTCTGGGACCTTACGTAGTTTTAAAATAGAGATACTCTTCGACTTACAGTGGTTTATTTGGTGACCATTTCAAGGGACGAGAGCCCTGAGAAAAGGGACTTATGACCGCTTTTCACATGACCGTCCCAGCAGTCCCTGGGTCCATGATCAACATTCAGACGCTTGGCAAGCGACT